TCTTTCCGTTTGCCTAAAGTTTCAAGAGAAATTTGACATTTCCAGTTTTTCAGTGTCTCAGCTTCTCGGTATTCCAGCTTTCCGGTATCTTAGCTTTTCGGTATCTCAGCTTTTCGGTGTCCAAGTTTTCTATTCACTGAGTTTCGGAGAACCATACAGATTATTTTGAAGAATATTAACTTTTTTCGAAATTTTGTTCATTATGTATTAATTTAAGCGGCGGTACTGGGTCATTATCTCCAAGGTTCACTAAACAATTAAAGAATCGGTTACGTTAAAATAGCGCCCCTAATGATTTACTTATGGCCATTGTTACATAGAACTTAAAAGGAAAAACCAACGGGAATATTATAGCTTAAGATGCCTTTTAGGGAGAGTCTTATTAGCAGCGTACACAAAGCATGGTTTAAGGAGTGGTTTTTAAAAACTAAATCAAATTCAGAGTTTAGATCCTCTCCAAAATCTTTCTCATATACTTTGAATTGAACTTTATTCAAGAATTGCAAAATAATCATTTTTATGAATTCAATTTGGGATTAAAAACAATTTCATTTAACAAACTTTTATCAAAGCAGAAGAAAAACTCAAAAATGTTTGTCGAACAAAATGGAAAAAGAGTTCATCAACTTGCTAAGATCTTATAAATATTATATAAGTTTCAATCAGATGTAAAAATATGTTGATAACTATCAAAATGAATATAAATTAGGTTTATGTTCTCACGTCAACTCGTTACATGAAAACTCACTTACTTTTCTGCTGTGTAAGCATAACAAGGGTCATCAATAGAGCAGAAGGCAAACAAGTACTCGACATTGTTTGTACACGGACGGCCAGCTAAACTTCAGCAGATGCCGTAATAGTGACATTCGACAAAAATTTTGGACTTTTTAGAGGCAACGAATGGTTGACACATAAAACATGTCACATTTATAGCCGAGCAATTTTTACCAAATACGAAATAAAAAAAAATCACAAAAACCATATGGAAAGAAAAACTCATATACATAAATATATCTATAAAAAAGAAAGATACTTTTTTGGAAACAAAAACTATACAAATTTATCTATAAAAAAATAGAGATGTTTGTTTTTTAAATTGATTTGAAATTTTAGAACAAAAGCGATTCTGAAGTATTTTTCAAATATATGAAGTGATTTAATATAAGATATTGTATGCATAAAATGATAGCACTCACTTTTTATTAACGACATTTTGGTTATAGATATAAAATAGATTTTTATTTCGGTAACTTCTGTAAGTAATTTTTGATTAACTCACAGATAAACGTAACTGCCATTTACGAACAATATGGATGAGATGTATAATTTAGAAATAAACCTGGTTTACTTTTGAAAAAGTAAATATGCCATAACAGATTTTTATTGAATACATGCTTAAATTGTCATAAATAGTTGAAGAGAAAGATTTCTTATATGCCCATCTATATTCTAATAAAGAATATAGATTAGATAAAAATATGGAAACTATGTCACCACGTCACTGCATTATTTCAGGATTATTGTGACAAACTCAATTTAGTTCCATAGACACATAACAGTTAAAAATGTCATTATGTCCTTCGAGAGAGATGTTGCCAAATTCTGTTACCGATAAGGACTTATGTGAGTTATAAGTACTTGATAAGTTTTCGCCCACTGTGTGTCGGAGATGATAACAACAAACCAACCAAAGTTGGTTCCTTCTCTTGCTCACATTAAAATTAATTTAACTGAAATATAGGATGACGATAATAATTTATTATTAAACAATTAGATTTAGTTAAAACAATATATTATTACCAAAAAAAGTTATACATATACTATATTATATGATGATAATTGCTATGTTTTTTCAGGAAAAACTATTATGAGAAAGAGAAAATACTATGTGAATCATGAAATACTTATAAATCCAGCATTAGAAATAATTTCATATTTAAGGCACATAGATTCTTTTCATTCATGAAAGTCTATAAAAGATATTCTAAAACAAATAATTTTATAAAATATGAAAAGTTTAGGTAAAATTTATTTTAAAAAATTTTTAAATAAAAATAAATTATTAAAAATAAAAATTTTATTGAAAAACCAAAACATGTTTTTCTTTATATTTGCATCTCATTTATAACAATACCATCCTCCTTGCAGACCTGAGCGATTGCCGCATTAGCGTAACTATTGGTACGTAGTAACCTTTCCGGGAAAATTGACGACGAGCAGTGGTGGCGCTAGGTGTCAGCGACCGCCGACGGCCTCGCAAAAGTTACGAGTGTTGATTTAAATCACTTAATTGATATTTTAAACAATTTGATTTCATATATGACATTAATCGTATGAAAAGTGTATCAAACAAAGACCTTCTCAAATTTTGTAATGCCTTAGGTATAATTCGGCTTATTGAACTGTATGAGGACCTGCTGTTTTTAAAATCGAACTCACTAGATTGAATCAACGATATAAAACAACTCATCTTTTATATAAACTAAATTAATTTAGAGAAAATATATCCGAATGTTTATACAGTAACCAGAATCATGCGCACAATTCTAGTCAGTATAGCTCCTACTGAAAGAACCTTCTTAAAGTTAAAATTGGTTAAGACTGACTTGAGAAGTATGATGAGCCAAAACACACTATCTCCAGTGGCAATTCTATCAATTGAAGTGAAAATAGCAGCGGATACAAATTATGATATAATTTTAAAAGGGGTCTCGCAATTTTGATATTGCCGATGTCCACAGTTGGTCTAGCTGCGTAACTTATGACGAACAGTGTAGCCCCGGAAATCGTAAACGTTGTATGCCTAAATTTAAATGATTTTTTCAAGCTTGTCGCTTAATATAAAAGTCCATTTAGTAGTTTATCTTTTTTAAGTACAAAAAATATAAATTTTCAATTCCAATATTATTAATTAAAGCTTTTTCAAACTTAAATTGGTTTTTACTGTGTTCACACTATGACCTTCCACTTTAGAGTTCTCTGTGGAAATGCTAATTTGAATTAGTTTTTGATTTCGCAATCAATTTGTGGTCAGAAAATGGCTTCAAATTGCAAAAATAATGAAGCAAATTAAATTACAGAAATGTTGAAAATGAGCTCACCACAACCATATGTAAAATATATTTAAATAAATTTAATTCGTATTTAATTAGAATATTATTTTATTTGGCTTACATTTATTGCATGATAAGTACTTTTGAAGGCTGCAAAAATTGCATTTCTGAGTTGACTACTTCGAAACGAGTAACAATCGTCTGGATGAGAAGTGAATTGAAAATATCTAGTATAACATTAAATCCATGCATCGTAAAATATTATAGTTTTAAACACAAAAATGATTTTAATTTTACTATTCACTGTAAATGTTGCCCACACATTTACTATAAATCACTGTCTTGGAGAAATCCTTAGAGAATATTACATGAAGCATCTTGTCTAAACATGTTTGAAACGTGGAGGCGTAAAGTTGTATTTCACGAAACAAAAAAATCCCCGCCCACAAAAATGTGTACCTCCTATATTTCGACGCTCATAAAGTAGTCCAATTCAACTCTACTAAGAGGCAGCAAAAAACTGAAGTCATCAATAAAATAAGTAAAAATAATAAATAAATATGTATAAATGAAACATTAATATGTATAAATAAAACATTATGTATAAATAAAAAATTATGTTGAAAAAAAAAATTAATATACATAAATATATATAATTAAATAAGTACGGTATCGGAAAAGGTGACTATGAAAAAACATGACTCTGAGCTTAAAATTTGGTGACCAGTTAAACTATTTATGCAACAACGTATTATGATGCATGATTCTTTAGTTCTCTTTCCAATTCTATCAAATATTATTTGTACTGATGTTTTTTTTCGCTTTATATTTAACATGTCGCTTGATTTAAATTTTATCTTTTATATATTCTGCTCATTCTTGTCTTCGACATCCTCTTCATCTTAAACCTAATTGACTTTGACCGCGTATTTACTTTTTCTTCTTATTCTTCTGACAAGATTCATTTTGTCGATTCTGCACACGTAAATATAAACATAATTTATAGATATATCCCTGTAGATACATTCCGCAAACTTTACTTCTAGATTCAACAGATATATTCGATAATGCTACAAAAACTACATCTGAATTAGAACACTTATAACAGATTCACACTGTCTCATTTAAACGGTTTTGTCATCAAACGGAAACTACAATAACAAATATTTTTTATTATTTTATATAATTGAATTTTTGGCTAACCATACAGCTGTTTCGAGTATTGCCAAATATCTATTATCAGTGGTCTTGAAATGATTTCTTACATTTAATTATTCGTAAATTATTTTTTGAGACTGCAAATATCAAGAATTGAATGCGTACCCTGCCAAATTTTAAGTTTCGAGTCAGTGTTCAGTAGTCTACTGACCCAAAGTTGTACTTGACTTATATGTTCGAACTTAGGTTTTGTTAAGTTTTGTATAAAACAGCTGTTTGGTCATCCAAAAATTCAATTAATTAAAATAATAATATATGTTTGTTGTTGTAGTTAGTTACTGTTCGATACATCTCTATTAATAGCTTTTATTAAGTAAAATATTAATTACAGTTATAACTGACATATAAATTCAAATCAATTATATTTATTTATATCTATTTGAGGCAGTGCACTTGAGTACTTTTACTCTTTCTTAACTTGAGCTATTTTTAAAACCCCTATTTACGCCTTGACTGTATTATTGTTTATCACTTCATCAGGCTAAGCAATAATTCACCTCAGAACTGCATACCTCCCCGAGGAGCCTGTAACCATTCTGAGATTTGATAACGCGGTGTTGGTAAGTCTGTCAGTTGTCGTAAGTAATTTAAAGGCTCTATCCTTTATGCATTTTTTGATGGGATCAAATATTTCGTTATATTTATTTTTTTTTTGGATTTTATTGGACAATTATAATGTACATAGGTATATATAATTTACATATTATTCCATTTATATTAAATATGTAATTGCTAACAAAATTTATTTAATTATTTAGTAAGAAATGAAATCTATATATTTTCATCTGTCTGAAACTACCAAATCCTTTGTAATAACCGTTAAAATCGTAGCAATTTTGTGTTGACTGGGTAAGTTTATTATTAAAAAGTATTGATGAGATTTTTTCACCACTGCTTACCATTTCATAATAAGCGTTGAATTTGCTATCCTGATCTCTGATGGAAAGTATGTATATTTTGAAGTGTTGTTGTAACATTTGCGATGGGTTCCTCGCCCACGCCCGCGCCCGCGTCTGCTCGCGTGCCCACGTGAGTATAGCCTGCACTCAACAGTATTGTTAGCATTTAGCTCACTTTGTTCACAATCGCATTCCCCAAACAGATTCATGAATAGACTATTAAAAAAGCAGCGAAAGTCACTGCTGTATCCAATGCAGCGTGTTGGTCCACGACCACGTAAGCATTGATTATAGTATTTTATATCCATTTCAGAATTATTTTCACTATGAGCACTGATATCGCGTTCCACAGTTGGATAATTCTCAAATAAATATTTTTTGCAAGCATTGTCATTACCTAGGTGTGACCAGCGTCCTGACCGACGTCCACGTAAGCTTTGACCATAGTTTACGCGCTTCTTATTTGCATTCTCAAGTAAGTTATTACGTATATTATAACACTGAGCATTGATTGCCTCACTATCATTAATATAGTTTACTTGTTTCCGACCACGTAGAATACAATTAACACTTCCACAACCACGACTACAAATGCAATCCATGTCATTTGTCTTTGGTGGTGGTGGTATCGATTCAACTTTGGGCAAATGTGAAAACATTTTTTTTAGTTCTTGCAAACTTTTCTGTGACTTAATTCTTACATTCCCATTTGGATACCAACCGGAACTATGATAACCACGTCCACGTCCACGTCTATGTGCAGATGCACATCTTACGTCTCGCAACACACCACGACGATCAAATGTTGGGCTGTTAACAAATGTTGACAGTTCGGTTGCGTTGAAGTTATATTCTTCGTCATCAAAAATATATTTGTATAGTACAGTACACCAAGTGTACACTATTGACGATGAGCACGTTTCTATAACACCTATGTCCTGATGAAACTAAAATTAGTAAAGAAGAGAAAATAAATTCATATGCACTATTAATAAGTTGGCTAAAAAAAGAAAAACTAAAAAAATTGCAAAGTGCGTTTACATAGTGTCAGAGCAATTTATCTAGAGTAAAGACTTCCTTAATTCAAATCAATATTTTTTTTTCAATTATAAATACAATGATTTCGGAATAATCAAGTTAAATTGAACAAATACATATACTGAAAGACACTTCTTCAATGCTCACCTTGCATGTTAATCTGCTTTTCCCATAATCGGCTCGATCAAATAATCGAGAGATTACCGCATTGATGGCTGGCTCATCAATTAATGAACTGTACTTTAAGGTCTTCATCAAATATTCAAAAGAATATATCATAAACACAACATCACTTGTTCCATTGTCATTTTTAATAAGGGATAATGCACTTTTAACTGTTTCTATTTCACATTCTCTAGTATAAAGTGGTCTTACGTTTTCAGTACCCTTCTCTTTTGCAAACTCTACTAACTTGTTATATATAAGTGCAATGTTAGTTTCTCCAATAGCGTTTGGTGGATACGGTAGATGATGGGTTTCTTCCGAATGCACCTGAGCATTATGTTGCTCTCCAAATAAACTTATACCTAAAAAATACATTAAATTATTATAAAATTTTCTAGACATAAAATAATATAATAGACATATAACATATAATAATATAATTACATTTAATACAGATTTTTGATTTATACTTACGTGGATTCAATAAACAATGATATGTTCTTTTGATTTCCTTATCTAGCGTGAACTCTACAGCCGCTATTTCCGCTGGGATGTAGAATCCCCCGTGCAGAGTGCGAGTAAAGATGTTCACATTCAGTACAATAAAGGACTTTGTTAGTAACTCTAAAAATATAAAGACAACTAAACTTGTGACCTTAAATAGTTATAAAATATACACACTGCCATTATCATCCGCTTCCTTAATTTCGAGTTCAATATGATGCTTCATACGTTCCATTAAAATTTCATTCTCCTTTTCTTCTTGCAGAATCTTTGACAAGAGCACGCCATTGCAGCACATGATACTTTTCTCTACTCCATCCGGATTTTTCATTTCCTTTGCTTTTCGATTGTAATAGAGTTTAGTGTCTGGATCAGCTTTCTAAATATTTTTTGTATAAACGAATATAAATTAGCAATAGAATAAATTTAGTAGTTTTAGAAAATAGTAAAGATTTATTAAGTTTAAAAATGATTCTCACTGTCTATTTCGACAACATCCAAATAGAAATAGAAATAAATTTTTTCCAATCAGAAAAGATTTGATAAACCACTGTCTTACCTGACATCGTCAAATTACAAAAAAAAATCTAAAGAAATTCGTACTCAAGTAATATTAGAGAAAAATCCCACTTTTTGATCTCGTATTAACTACATAACCAATTTTCAATGACGGTTTTTGCACATCGCTCATATTGGCTTAAGTAACTCGTACTAAATCGGTTGTGAAATATGTGAAATACTAAATAAATAAATTGTTTCCAGAAGAGTTCGAATATATATTCTTGCCATCTTAAACAACCAAGTGTTGTTCCGCCGTGCTTTTTAATAGTTGAATCACCAACTAAAGTGTGAAGACCCACTTCGAAAATTGTTTGAACTTCCACCTCACAATATTTTCTGGAGCTAATTTATTTTTTAATTGTAGGTCTGTTTTGTAACTAAAGTGTCTTAAAGTTTTTTTGTACTTTTAACAACTTTTCTATCAAAACAATAGAGAGCAACACTCTCCACTTCTCACGGCAACTCTAAAGAACAATATATTCATAATTTCGCTATGTCGTCATATGGTTTAGCGAAAAAGGATGCTCAGAAATTACTAAAAACTCTTAGCGTATGGACATGAATTTAATATATATTAATCCCTTACTATATATAAGTTTAACAGCAACCTATTTTTCGCAGAAATATTTTCAGTGAGTTAAATTCTCGATGGCGATATTAAATCATTTCGATACAAATTTTAGAATTAATATATGCTCATTAACAACCTACTCCAAATTTTTTCTGACTGAAAGTTTAATTAACGGAAAAATACATATTATTTATCCTCCTAAATTTTCACTTAATATAGTCTTTAACTATATTAATAATTTAAAAATTTATTGACAATACTGAAAACATTTTTACTTACCTCCCATAATCGTCCAGTATACAACGTGGCATTTCGCAATCTGCTCCCGAAATTATGAATTCTCATCCATTCACGAGTAAAAAGAATAAACCCGTTTGGCTTGATTTTTTTCCTTGGCTTCAATACCTCGAAATCAACTTCTTCCATCTTTAGTTTGTAGCGAATGTTTTGCAATGACTGATGTCAAAATAACTATGATAAAAAACAAAACTAAGCAACGAAAATTAAAGACAGGGTTACCATCTGACAATGATATGGCAATGATTTTTTTAATTCTGATAAATTGTTGTTGAAAATAAAAATTATATTACATCAAAAAATTCTATGGCATACTTAAATCAAATGACCTTTAAGAAATTTGCTTAAATTCTTAGGAGCATCTACATAATTGGAATCATATAATATGTGTAATATTATTATATTATATATAAGTTCAAGAAACATATATATAAATGAGACAACAATGATATCGTTATTTCTTGTTACTATATTAACTGTCAATCGGATTTATTTAAAGGATACGATGTTAGATGATAAGTACTGATTAGTTTATACGACAATTTGCCTACCTTAAGAAGGCTCTGTAAATGAATCACTCCAAACTTTATCAGTCGTTTGTGAATCTTATCCTTCTGACTGCGATCTAAAAATAAACAAAATTAGTTCATTATAAAATATACTAAAATTATCTTTTATTGATTAAAAAAGTTTTATTAAATAAGTTCATATACAGAAATCATTGTATATATCCGCTTGTTCTATTCCAATAGAAATGCTGTTATATACTTGTCTTCTGTATATGTTCGAAGTCATCCGGTAAGTCTATAATTAACTCAATAATTATATGAACATACAAATGTTCTCAAATAGACTTATATGTTAAAAATAGTCTTTTATGATTGAATGGATAACTATAGAGCGATCAGCTTTTGACTTTAATAGCGAAAGCAGGATCGGCACTGAGGCGTCTAATAAATAATCACTTTCGGTTTTTATTAATATTAGCAAAATAATTTTACACTTTTACCTATTCAAGTTTTCAACAATAAAAAACAAAATTTGATATATACTTAATGCTTGATTTCAGTAAAATTGAAGAAATCAAAAATATATATTGAAAATTATTTTACTAAAATCCAGGCTAAGTTGATCACATGTTCTTCGGCACTTTTTATAATTTAATATTTTTTTATTAGGACTTTATCTAATATATTTTCATATATATTTAGCAAACATGTCTTTAATGAACTTACAATATTAAGATCAATTCAATTAATTAATCAAGTTTAAATTAAGTTCTTATACTTATTAGAAGTAAAAACGCACAACACGTGGAAGTACCGATTTTTAAGAAATGCCATTTACTTGACACTGACTGTCAGTAAAGTGTTCGAAAGTCACAAAAGACCTAAATTTAAATTAATGTAATAGTTGTCATTTTTACTCAAATTTTGGCGTTATGGCGTTAAAAAATTTAACTTAAGAAGTTAACACTTATCTTATTTTGTGTAGTTTAATTAGGTTACGTTAAACTGGCTGGACATAAGCAATGGACGTAAGAGAGACCAGGCAATATCAAACATCTATGTAGATTTTCGCGAATTTAAGAAGTGCTTGAAACTCTACTTGCAAGACAGAGCCAACAAATATTTAAATTTTTTAAACCCGGTTCTTAGATCGGATCTTTAAGGAATATAAACCTTGGCCCGGTTTGTTGTACTTCAAGATAAATGAGATTGTCATATATTTGTTCCCAAGAGTGATTACGCCCATATTATATAACTATACTCTATGTAACATATAAAGTTTATATAAAACTTTTTTTTATATTCTTCTAAAAGTGCATTAGATCCATTTGTAGAAAACAATAAGAATTATGCAGGTTTAACTGGGAAGACTTATGTGTAAGAATCATACACATTAAACAAAATTTTAATAGATATAGAGCGCTTCATAAACACTTCGTTATATATTTTGCTTAAATTCTTAGGAGCATCCACATAATTGGAATCATATAACATGTGTAATATTATCATATTATATATAAGTTCAAGAAACTATATATTATAAATTAGACAGCAATGATATCGTTATTTCTTGTTACTATATTAACTGTCAATCGGATTTATTTGAAGTTTACGATGTTAGATGATAAGTAGTTATTAGTTGATATAACAATTTGCCTACCTCAATATGTCTCTGTAAATGAATCACTCCAAACTTTATCAGTCGTTTGTGAACCTTATCCCTCTGACTGCGATCTAAAAATAAACAAAATTAGTTCATTATGAAATTTACTAAAATTATATTTTATTAATTAATAAAGTTATATTAAATAAGTTCATATACAGAAATCGTTGCATATATCTGCTTGTTCTATTCCAATAGAAATGCTGTTATATATTTGCTTTCTGTATATTTCGAAGTCATCCGGTAAGTCTATAATTAACTCAATAATTATATGAACATACTAATATGTACTCAAACAGACTTATGTGTTATTAGTTAAAAGTAGTCTTTTATGATTGAATGGATAACTATAGCGCGATCACTTTTGACTTTAATAGCGAAAGCGGGATCGGCACCGAGGCGTCTAATAAATAATCACTTTCGGTTCTTATCAATAATAGCAAAATAATTTTACACTTTTACCTATTCAACTGTTGAAGAATGAAAAACAAAATTTGTAGTATATTCAATGCTTAATGCAATAAAATTGAAGAAATCAAAAATGTATATTGAAAATTATTTCATAAAAATCCAGGCTAAGTTGATCACATGTTCTTCGGCACTTTTTATAATTTGATATTTTCTTATTGGGACTTTGTTTTCATATACATTTAGCAAACATGTCTTTAATGAACTTACAATATTAAGACCAATTAAATTAATCAAGCTTTAAATGATAAAAAAACGACAGTTTCTATATTTATTAGAAGTAAAAACGCACGACATGTGGAAGTACCGATTTTTAAAGAAATGCCATTTACTTGACACTGACTGTCAGTAAATTGTTCGGAAAGTCACAAAAGACCTAAATATAAATTAATGTTATAGATGCGTCCAATTCCTTTCAAGTTGTCAAACAAGATTAATATTATGAAATATAACGCTCTCATGTAAAGATCTTGTCAATCAAGTTAATGTGTTGGCTTGTTTATGCAAGCATATTTCTTCAACAATAAAAACTATATATAAATACTACATATTTTAAGAGATTCAATTTTAAATAATATTGCAACAAATTTTGTATATCTTTCCACGAACGCAACCCAAAAAGATGCTTTCGAAATTAATTTCGAATGATAAGCAGGCAAGGGGTGAAAATACTACATAAGGTGTATTCTTTTGGCATGAATGCTCCAATAGCACAACTTTTGGCGCTTAAGAATAACTTGGCATCACTGCCTAGACGTGTAAACATGACATGTAAGAAAATTTCAAACAAATTTGCAGTTGAATTTTATATAAAAGTTTGTTATATAAATGTACATATATAAAATGAATGCAATAAAAAAGTTATTGCTATTCTTTTATTGAAGAAGAACTGTTACGCGAGTTGCTGGCCTATACTAGCTAAAATCTACACAAAAAAACACTGTTCTCTCTATTTAGGACAGCATAGGTATACTGGCCAAACACTTCGGCCAGTAAAGAAAAATGTCTTAGCTACGCAATAACCGAACTATAGTAAACCTTCATTGGAAACTCCAACAAATGTTAAATCTGTTCCACGAACTACTCGTAGTAAATTTGAGTGACACTGTGTATACACAAGTTCGTTCCACCAGCAAGTTTTCAAGTAAATGTAGGATCTGAGAGAGTGTAACATCCCTGTCGAAATTTGAAAATACAGTCTTTACTCGTACATTTTATTTCAAGTAATATTTGTGTAATGTGTGAATCAGCTGTTTTGTTTTGAATTTAAATGTTTGTATTATTTATTTGCGCGACTCTGTTGTTCTCACCAGGTTTAACACAAAGCTGTTTTATGAAAATCTGTGTAAAGAACGTAATTTGGTACATTATTTGTATTACGGACTCAGTTTGTACTTTACTTGTGTTTTACTTGAGTTTTACTACGAGTAGCTCATGGAACAGACCTAAAGTGTGTATATAATATAAGTGTGTGCAAAACTATAGTAAGTTTCAAACACAAAAATGGTATTCATTCTGTCGTGCACCTCACAATGACTTTGCAAGATCGAGTGAATATCGCTAATATATAAATATCCTTTATATAAAATAATGCTACAGTGAAAATTTAATTACAAGCGTGGTGTATTGTATATATGGTTTGTGAATTTAAGCATTAAAAAGGTGGAGAGATCCTTATTCGTTGGATGAATGGTATCCACGCTGGAATTAGTATGGTGAATTTGGTTAAAGTCTACTGAAATTTTAAAGACCGGAGTAATAAACACCATACTGACTGTTGACTACTACTGCAATGAACATTTTATACTGCAACTTTTTAATCAAGTCTGGTAGCTTTGAAAGCCTTGAAGTATAAATCGAAAGCATAAACGTGATAAAAAGTGAGGACTAATATTATTTCGACAAATCACAAAAAATATATTTGTTATTGTGTTTATTACTTTTGCGCATATAATTATTATTATTCTCCGATTATTACAATTGCTATAATTTTAAATAAACGCAAAGGCACGATGGTTCTATGCATTTATGTGCCTTAATATGTGCATGAAACAAACTCTAATTCAAAAAATATCCCCTGGATATAATATGTCACTCAATAAAATTCAACAAAATCGTATACATAAACGTATAAAGGAAGGGGTTTCAAAAATTTTGTCATGTAAATATGTCAAAGTGCTATTGTGTTCAATAATGTAGATAACCTAAAGCAAGACAAGAAAGGAATTTAAATTTTTTGAGATTTATTTAGATAAAAAAGCTTCACGTGTGGCAAAATTTAGCACAAATGTCAAGGGTTAACCTAAGTTAATGGACGCAATGGTCAAGTGCAAATCCATTAACGCACTCATATGGAAAAAGGTCAGTGAAACAAATTTAAATGAACTTAATAGGGCTTTGCGAAAATTATAGAAAATTTAAGGAACAAACAAACGAAATCACTATTATTAGGTATATATTTCCTTATTTGTAAGGAAATACATAATTTGCAATTAGTGTGGTTCGTAAAAATAGTGTACCCACCAATATATTTTATATTTTCATATATTTTTTAGACATTACTATGGTATGCTGAGAAAAATTTAAGTTATAGAGTCCACTAAATGAGTTCCTATCGTTCATATATTTTCTAGGCATATATTACTTCTTCAATATTCTTACTTAAAGAGCATCCATCATATATATTTCCTAAATTCCTAAATAATTTCTATAATAATTCCTATATAATAACAGAATAACATAGTATATATAAACGATTTTTCTAGTTGCAATTATAAGAGATTGATAAAAAATAAGTCGAATCACAACTTCTGTTTAAAAAAGGCTTGAATAAAACCAGCATAGATGTAACCGCGTAGAACCAAATGTTTACTTCAGTGGTACCCGTTACAATATGTTATTACCTTTTTAAGCCTTTTCATTCCACACTCCTTTAGAATAACTCTATGAACCATTCTCCTAGTGAAAAGTAAAAATGCAAGTATAGCGATTTGCTGCTTCTAAAACCGGGGTATTAATCTGTGTGTGAGAAATATAGTAAGTAACTAGAAATATGAGTTAATATTTTAGCAGATAGTGTAAGTATATATATTTTTGCTTTACTAGGCAAAATTTTTCAACGAGTACTTTTGTAATCTGATCAACCAACTGCCAGCAATACATGTAATCAGATGTAAGACGTTATGAATTGACCATATTCTTAGCTTAGAAGTCTTATAAACAACGTAGCTATACAAGCATTGCACTGGAATTCGCTAGACAACCGCTAGTCGGACACCCCAGCAAAACTGAATATACGCAAGTTGATATCACACAGTCAGCGTCAAATACGAGTAGAATATGATATAAATGGAAGATAGAGGCCCTATGTTCTAGCAGGAGTGAAGGAGGCAGTAAGTAAGTAAGGGAAAATATTTTGTATTAATATGTATAATAATGCTAACTAAAATTATGATTACAAAAAGAATTTACATATTAAATGAACTAATATATATAATTATTTAAAGAATATACTTCTTCTGCTTTCATTTAACTACTAAGGCACTACCGTTTGTAGTTTGTGGCTATTTACGTTAATGAAATGGACATAGCTCCCCACTTCATTTTGCAATGAAGAAATAGAGCAAAAGAAACATCCTGCTGATATTTTTCGTCTTAAATAAATCCCTTCGAACTTCATTCAATTACTAAATCACAAATAGTCCCAGTTATTGACTCTTGACGATAATGTGATGGGTAAAGTCCTCTATTACATTTCGCTTTACAATGTCGCTCCATTAAAGTTCTTTTTTTATTCTTGAAATAAATAAACTTTCAGCACTGACTCTATACTTAGTTCTGTTTTTGTTTCTAATTGAGATAAACTAACTAAGATAGACAATTTTTCTCAATGCATTCACAGAAATCTTCTCTCGCTCTCTTTGAAACGTGGTCTTCATGAGTATCTCGTGCCATCACTTAAAAGTTGGTTGTAGTGAAATTGCAAAAAAATCGTTTTTCTTACATAATTTCCAATATTAAAAAAATATCAAAATTTTTATATTCTATCGATGATTTGATTAAATCAAAACATTAAAGCTTGCATAAGTCCGCTTTCAGAGAGTCAAAGTAGCGCAGCACAAAAACCTAAAAAATATCTTTCTTGTGTTTTCATATCCTTACCACAGTTGGTTTTATCAATTTATTTCTATTGCTTTCATTTTTGCAATAAAAGTTTTTCACAATCTTAATCTTCTATATCAGAAATAACAAAAAATTTCATTACTTTTACAATTGATGTTTCATCATTTATCATATGAGCGGCTTTTTCCATAGACGAAAATTCCCCCCAAATTTTCGCATTGCTCTCAAGATTGCCTTTTGCGGAAATTGAATTTTTTTGTTTAAGTGATTTTATCTGCAAAATAAAATTATGTTAATTTTACTTTTTTTTATTTGAAACATAAGATTAATTCAATAAAAATATTTGAAAAACATACGTAAGAACTAAGAAAGAAATTTTGAATGGTAATAGCACTCGACACCAAACATTTGTTCTCTTCATATTTTTCCCTTAATGATTTTTACTGAATTTATTTATTTGTGAAAATGATTTATTTCTTTTTGATTATTTCTTAGGAAAAACTAAACGAATGATATGCATATTGACATCATTGAAATATAGCATTCAACCATTTCAGAATAAAACAATCCCGATACTGCTGAGTGTGACTTTATGAGACTATTACAACAGAAAGGTATATCGTGATCAAGTGGATTAACTTATTAAACTTTAATTAATAAGACTGACCAATAATATTTAAATTTAGACTTTACCATCTAAACCAAGTACCAAGTACTTCTCAATACTAACTTTTGATATGAAGTTATTTTGTTCCCGATACTTTCATTCGAGCATGTATTGTATATATAGTATATCCATGTTAAGCACTTATTTGTTATAATATACATCTAAAAGTACAATAAGCACTAGTGATTATCGATACTTTCAAAATAATTACATTGCCAATGAAAAAGTCATCTAAAAAATCTCACATGATTAGGTTAGATTAGGATAACCTAAGATCACTTGAGCAAAAAATAATGAGTGGGTTTTTAATGTTCGGGAAATAAATATCAGAAAGAAGCAGGCCTGCTATGTTAGATCGTCAGTTCTGCAGAAACGATTTCCCTAATATCCGTTAGGGTAATAAATAATTAAAGTCTAATTAATTAGACATTAATTATATTAATATTATCCCAGCCTTAATCTGTGCCAGACGGAGGTCACTGGGTCGAGAACTACTCTTCCCTTCTGACATTAGGAGGTCCTTAGCGGCCGACATTCTGGTCTTCATTCGGAAGGCAGAATATCATCTGTTAAGTTAGGGTCGGTTGCAGCACAAAAGAACAATCATGGTCACAGTGTTCTGCTCCGTTCGGAGTTAGTGCCCTGTTTATTCCTGTTCCTATGTTAATATTATAATGATAGAGTTTTTTGTATAAGCTTATTTTCAAAGATTCAATCTAATATAGTTTCAACTGATATATTAATAATATGCAGTATTGTAATTTCTACATATACTTATACTTATAAGAGTAAATAAAATTCGATAAATGAAAATAATTAAAATTTGTTGTGTCTTCATTTTGTATTTAATAAAATTTAAAAAAAATGGTTTTAATATAATATAATTTAGTATTTTATAACTAAACTAGTATTCTTTCCGAAGGCCATAAGAGAGTCAAGTTTTGAATTTTCATGAATATATCTTTTTACGTTTGTTGTTTGTTTTTTGAAATAAAATTAAAAGAAATTTACAGTACTTCATACTTCACAGGACTGCATGCTAAGTATTTAATTTATAATTACAACATCTTCATTATGAGGGTGAATATACGTTATATAGAAGAAAAAAAAAAAGGATTTAAAAATGAAAACGAATGGTAACTGCTGGTATAGCCTTGACCCAAAATATTTGGTTAGCAATTTCTTTTGAAAATTTAAACAATTTTACTCAAATAAATGTAACAACTGCAGGCAAAAAAGAACGAAATAAAATAAAATAAAATTAAATAAAATAAAAAAAATATCTAGTTGCGAAAGGCCATGCAATATTTTCTCTGAAACAAGAAGAGGGTCGGGCTTTTGCTGGCTTTTTAATAAAATAGTAGCGCTGGAGTGGATACATTTAGCAGAATTCTAGAGTCAATAAAATTTTTAAAGAATGCTTGAAAACCCGTATAAATATTTAAGTAGCTCGTGGTTTTTAACACATTTTCTGCAAATCACAGTTTGTAAAATTTTACGCGAAAATATTTATTTGGATAATTTATTACATATATTATAAATATAAACTCATTTTACGCATATCGTTTAACTACAGTATTGAGGCTTTAAGAATTTGAAAAATTAATTCAATCTATATTTTATTGCATGACATTCGATAAGTCGGGTATACAACACATACAACACATTGCTGAATACAACTTTGAGGTTGTAAGTAATTTTACCCCTATCTTGGTGCGCTGATTAGCAACAACAATGATGGCAGAATCGCAATAAAAAATAGAATACAGGCAGCAAATAGATGTTTTTACAAATATTTAGACTTAAGGAAGTCAAGATTACTAACCAAGGAAAGTAAGTTACGAATGTACAAGAAAATAATGAGACCGGTAGCTAGATATGGCTCAGAAGTATGGACAATGACAAAGGCGTAAGAAGAAGCTTTAAAAATTTTCGAAAGAAAAACATTTTGCCAAATCTGTGGATCAATCCAAATAGATGCAGAAACTTTACAAAGACGAATAAATAATGAAATTGAAGAACTACAAAAAAACTAAAATTTAGTGAGACTCATTAAGTCACAAAGGGTACAATGGGCTGCTCATGTAGTAAGAATGGGACCGGAGATTCAGCCAAGCAGCGTATAAAAAAATATAGTGAGATACATTAAGTCACAAAGGCTACAATGGGCTGCTCATGTAGTTAGAATGGGACCGAAGATAAAGCCGAACAACGTATATAAAATATAGTGAGATACAATGGGTTTTTCATGTAGTAAGAATGGGATCAGAGATAAAGCCGAGCAGCATATGTAACGCAAAGCCTATGCCAATCAGGCACAGATGTAGGCCAATCACAAGATGGGATGAGAACGTATATGGTGATGCAAGAACGATTGGAATACTGAACTGGAAGAGACTAACAGCAGATCGGGATAAATAGGAAGAATAAGAAGAAGATAATCAATAAGTAACAGCAGTTGAAGAAGTTTGACACTTCAAGCAACAGAAAGCCTGGAAACATTATATTGAGATATGTGGATTAATCTTGGTGAAATAATATTTGAATGAGACCACACTAGATGGATTTTGAAAGTTTCATTATTGATAACAATATTAACATTTTAAAAATGCTTTATAAATAAATCATTTATTTCATTATTTTCAACTGAAATTTGCATATAATTTTGTATAAAATTACTTAACCAATTATAAATATTGTTTATGCAAAAATGAATTATAATAAAATCAATTAGTTTACGCTTAATTAAACAGATTTATTTGGCTAAACCAAATTATTTAAATAAAACAAAATCAATAGAAACCATAAAAATATGTCAGTAAACATGTATCTGGCAGATTAATTTTTCAACAAAATGACGACTAATTTGCCAAATCAAATAAACAAATTTAAAGCAATTTCCTCTTTATTCGACTTTGCTATTTTCATGACACATGGATCCATGCATGGAAGCTGTAAAATTATTGCCAATAGTGGAATGGAATGGTTGATTTGTAAGCCATAATTATAACACTAACAAAATGCATTAGCGACATCTGATAAGAGCCACTCCACTCCAGGACTGCCAATAACCAACTTGCAAATCGATATCATTTGGCTTTATTTACAGGAAGGATTTAGAGATTGTTTAGTAATATTTTATCATACATTTGAGGCGGAATGTTGACGTTATGGAATTAAAAATTTTTTTCTGATTTGTAATTTTGAATAAAAATAGAAAATTCGTTATTGTATCAGCAAATCTGTGCTGATTTACGGAATTTGGAAGGATTTTATTAATTAATATTTTCATCAATTTTACTCAAATTACTTTACTTTTTTAATTATACGAGTTTATATATACTTTACTTTTACTTTACTGCTCTCCTTCTCTCCTAAGTGGAGCATAGGACCTCAGTTCATATACAGATAACTTGCTTAACCTCTCATAAGGGCACTAATATTCGGAACTACAGAATATGTGCAGTAAAGATATGTTATATATATTCTTTATCTGGGTTCTCTGAACCCAAAAGCAGGGAAGTGCTACAACGAGCTTTTGTTTCTTATCAAAGAAGTATTGATTACCAGACATATTGCTCTGATACTAGCGGAATTTGTCACAATGGCGATGTTTTGATTATTTTGCTATTATATTTATTATATTATTAGTTATTATATTGTATAATTATATTTTATTATATTATATTATCATATTTTATTATATTATTATTTTATTATTTATTACGATTATTAGTATATTTTTATGAGTAGCACACTGTTTATCTAACAGACGAAATGCTTGCGTCTATAAAGAGTTTATATTAATAGATGTTTACTCTCTGGATTTTTCAAAACAAAACTTTTCATAAAAAAACCTAAAAAAAAAACAAATTTTGTATAATTTTATTCATAGATATCTCAAATAAAATATTTATATATATGTAAAATATCTTTAACCTGCAAATGACGTCAATGCAAATTCTAATTTTCTCTCTCAAATTAAATATGAATTTAAAATCCATTTATTTATTTTGAAACTACTAAAAACAACAAATCTTATTTTACTCAATTTAATTCTGGCATCTACATTTTCAGTTTCCCTAACTTCTAGTAATGTAGAAAGATGCTTGCATTGCCAAAACTTTTCGAATCAATTTATTTTATGAATCTATTGGGTTCAGACTGCAACCACAACTGCATAAATTATGAAATGAAATATGCATCTTCATACTTTATATTTTTTGCTTTCATTTTAAATAAGAAACTATAAAAATATTGTAATTTTAATATAGATACACACACATAAGATAGATATAACACATATCTTCTCAATATATTTTGAAATGAATCATTAGTTATATACATTCATCGACAGTCTTCAGTAGTGGAAATCGGTTGTTGGTTTTCTCTTAAGTCATGCAAAAAGGCTTGTGATAGGAAAAGGAAGGTTAAGAATCAAGATCGCTAACAAAATATTGTAACGCATTTCTTAATTTCTTCTGAACTCGACCCTTCAGGTTACGAGGAATTATACTCAAATTCCTCGTGAATTTAAATTCTTACTTAAATTAATTTGAAAACAAAAATATTAAAACCGAATATTAATTAAAAAATTTAAAAAAATTTCAGAAAAATTTGCGAACATAGAAGACAGTTGGTTAAGGAGCGCTGGCTCTGAACTTCAAAATTGGCAGGGCACGAGTTCGATTCCTGATACTTGCAGTTAAAAAATTATTTATGAATAATTAAATACAAGAATTATTTCCACGACTACTGATGATGGGTGTTTGGCAATACTCGAAATAGCTGTATGGTCAGTCAAAATTCAATTAATTCAATTAAAATAATATAAAAAAATTTTTTGTTGTAGTTTACTACTTTTCGAAACCGTCTTTATTTAACATAATATAATAATTTTTTTTAATGTTTTAAGATATATAAATTATATATAATAATATATTATATATAATATTTTATTAATACATAAAAAAAATTTATTTTAATATATATATAACTAGAATTATATTATATATATACATTAATATACAAACATATATTTTAATATGAATATAAAAGTATCTTAAATGTATTTAAATAAATATGTATACCTTATATATATAAAATTACAAATTAGTCAATAATATATAGAAATAATATATTAAACAATAAAAATAAAAACTAATGACTTAATATATTTAATATACATATATATATATGCAAACATAATATATTTAATATGAATATTAAAAAAGTATCTTAATATGTATTCAAATAAATATGTATATATATATAAAAATTACAAAATAGTCATATAATATATAGAAAATAATTTTATATCACAAAAACCAGGCTCTGGCGACATATAGCATAATCGAAAAGTTATAAGTTTAATTATTCGAAATTGATCTAAATGCGTTGTCTGATTACAGGCTCGAGAACAATTGAAAGTTCTATAGAATACTATTATTATCAACAACTTCTAAAAAAATTTTTTTATGATAAATAAGAATATTGAGTGATAGATCTCAAATTTAATGTCTAGACTAGCTGTATAACAAAATAATATATATAGATACCAGTAATCACTATTAAACGTTAAAAAAAAAGATTTAAAGAGTTATTAGAGAATAATTCATATTTTTACAATAAACTTTTATGTATGTAAATTAACAATAAGTCTAAAACTTTTATTAATTTTTCAATAAAAAAAAATTTATGGATTCACAACTTTTTATAAAAAAAAATTTATAGAGTAAGATGCCGTGGTATATTATATAAAAAAACTTAAATTAATTTGACTGAGCTCACAAAACAAATGCCCCAAACCAAATTGAAATTACCGGCATTAAATCAACTTCTTGAGAAAAACAGAAAAAAGTTCTTTGATCCTTAACATTAAAGGCCAAACCCATCAAATCAGGAAAAAATATTCACGGACACGTACTAAACAAATATTCATTTTTCCACGAAACATCGCAATTATGAAACGTGCTCCATTTTTGGGCAGTTTCGGCAGATGTGAAAATTTCTTTGATATAAAAACACGTTCACTTGCAATGCACGAAGGTTACTAAAGGCAAATAAAGTAATACATAATAAGATATATATATAAGATATTTAAAATAATATTATTTAATATATTTCATAAGTCAGAAAAATACTTGGCATCACTTACTAAAGTAATTAATTCACTCCTTGTGGATATTTTTGCTTTAATGGAATACTATAATATACTATATATACTTAAGAGTAAAAACTAAAATAATTTGAAAAAATAATAAAAAATAAATTATTGTTATATTAAAATTTATGAAGTCGAAAAACTAGACTGAAAATAATTTATTTAATTAAAATGAGATATTTATTCAATTTTATTTAAAATTTTTTTCTTTTTGTTTGTATGAAAGTGTTCAGTTTTTTAATGCAGAAAATTTATTTCAATTAGGCACATCTAATCGCTTTAAAATTGCTTTTACCAAAACTCTTCCCGTCAATTTATTCTAACCCTTTTAATATACAGAGTGACCTTTTTCCGAGCCAGTGCACCAAAAATAACCTCATGTGCGACTTTTGACAGCTACTGCACCACTTCAACTTCTAAATACACACATAAAACATTTTTCGGAATGTTCGAGGACTTCTCTTGTGCAGGGCGACTAACCGGAAAAAATAAAAACTAAATATTCCAAATAGAATATTATTTTTATTAGAGGACTCTTAACAAAAAATAATTATAAAGATTTGAAAGAAAATAATATGAGTATAACAAAATAAAAAATACAGAAAATAGGAACATTGTATAGCATAATTTTATATATACCTATATTATATATAACAGTATTTTATGTAAATATATTATTATTGTAAATTGAAAGCATTATCTAAATAAATTGAATTTTTGATTATTTTTTTATAACTAAAATTTATTTCCAAATAATATGTAATAAAAATAAAAACAAAGTTAAGGGTAAGTCCTGGATTTGCAATTTTTTTTAATCCCACCGATAGGGAAAAATTAACTTACTCTTTCTTCCTTCAGGATTATATTTGGGATGTCTGATAGATTCGTTAGTTCTAAGGTGGAATGTTCTACCTATTGGAATGCTCTACTCTGCTCTGCATAGTGACTGTATAGCACTTTTGTGGAATAATGTATTGATTGGACAAAAAATTTTAGTTGACTTCAACGCAGCTACTAGGTTTAATTGTTTTTAATGTACCGATTAATATAACTATACTAGATTAAATTAATTTCTTAAATAAATCTTAAATAAATAATTTCTTAAATAAATAATTTAAAAAGATTAAAGTTAAAAAAAACCGTTATTATTTCTACAGAGTTGAAATTAAGTAAATGCTTTTTAATTCCAAGTAAATTGCATCATTTATCTGGACATTATTAAACTTAGCAAACACTGAGATACTTATTGACTTAAGTAGCATCAAATCGGTAGTATTATATTCCCTTAAGCAGTTTTTATCTAATAGGCCAATATTCTTGAAGAATTTGAATTCTAATTGACGGTCTTTGTAGCTTCTGTCAATAAGAGAAATCAAGCGATCAGTTTCTGTGCAGAAACCCAGCTCTGTCAAAGAGCATAGCTACAATTTTCAGAAAACCCCTTTTTTGAAGATCCCAAAACAAATAAAACTACAAAATTATTATGAAAAACTAATTGATTGAAGTAATGTGGGTAATCTTAAGTAAGGAATAAATGTATCACATTAATCTTTCTTAAACAGAAATAATCAAATAACTAGGAGGGAAAACACCTTCATAAAAAGCGTCTATGTCATTCTATGAGGACAAACATACAGAATAATCCTTAAGCTTAACCTAAAAAAAATTCAGAAGAATATACAAAAATCTTTAGGTTTTAAAAAAAATTCTTTAGTTTGGATTGTTGTAATACTTTACAACTAAATTAAATCTCTCCATAGGGCAAAAAGAAATATAAAAATACATATAAATATTTTTAAGTCCATTGAAGAAATATACTCTAATCCTTCCGATGCGTTAACTTTATGAGTTGTGAATAAAAATCGAAATGCTGAAAAAAAAGACCGATAAACGTGCAAAGTCTTTAGGCGGAGTGGAAGACATACACTTAAATCCTTAAGCCTAAGTAAATATTAACGATTAAGTATAAAAGAACCACAGCCCACAATTAAGAAAGGAAAACGTTATGTTTGCATTGAATGGTATTGAATACTTAATAAAGTTTATTTACTAAAATAAGAAAAAATTCCAATAAAATGAAATATTTTATTAATGCCAGCTGGCAGCGATTTCAGATGGTGGAAAGGAAGCAAATGAAGCCATTAAATTCTTAATCGTCTTAACTGCAATAAAAAAGGAAAAAATCGATTACAAAAATTGGCAATTGATGATTAAGGATTGAAGTGTAAGAAAAGAAGTGAATGTTGAAGTCTTTTAGAAATGTTATGTTATTTAATATATAGGTAGTTTTTTCTTTTTGATAAATTTTAAGAAAATTAATTTATCTCAATTTCTAACTTTAAAATTGTATTTTATATGGTTGGTGGTTGGATGGTTGCAGTGGCAGGCCATTAGATAATTTCCATGTACCTCAATTAGCGATTTTTCATCATTTTATTACAACATTCCACGCAAGAACCCTAGTATAGAAGAGTAGAGACTAAACCCATCTCGCCGAATTTAGATAATTTAATAGGTCTTTCGTCTCACCGATGAACAGTCTGATAAACTATCAAAGAAGTGTCTTTCTAAGAACCTATATCTTCTGGACGCCTATATTTTATATACAAATGTACTTCTTATGGTATTTTATCATTTATCACAATTATCTCAACATACTTGGGTTAAATAGTCTAATGAACTTTTTTTCATCAGCATCATTTAATAATTGTAGTAATATCTCATCATATATATCAATATTTTAATAAACGTTAAATGTAAATAAAAATTATAACAATTAAAATAAAAGCCTAATATCAAATTTTAATTAAATATCACATTTCTAAATATTTCCTTTGTAAATGATGAAAATTTTTCTGAAGTGATGATTATAAACAATTTTTCACATTAATCAATTGATATCAATTTACAGTTTTTTAGCACTAATAAAAATTATTTGTTCTTTATTACTTCAAAAGTTTTTGTTGAAAACTAGTGAAAGTATCTTTGAAGTAGTAAATAAAGGCACCTTCACCTTTAACTTGAAAATGATATTATCGCATTTCCACAAACTTTGTTCAAAAAGGTTAAAATAATTTTTCTTCTTAAATTACATAAAACCTTGCAGTAAATTTATTTAGTAAAAATAAAAATTATAATGGAAAAAAAGAGTTTTTGTTTTGGAATAATCTTAATGAACTTCATCTAAAGTTTACATCAAATCCAAAAAGTTTGGTTCGACATAAACTATGAACGCTGTGACAACTATAAGTGCATGATGATAGCTGAGATTTGGTCATAGCAGGCTAATATCTTATCAGCTGATACAATCTATCTCCTTATATTCTCCTTATTTTTCTCATATATTATATTGTATACTGAACAATTTCCTATTGAGTTTTTTTAAATTTTTTCTCAGAAAAGTGCCTAATTCTTGTTGTCTTGAATGAAATATATCATTTCGTTATTTTTGTTATCTAAAGAAAACTGGTAAACATTTCGTAA